CTCCTTGGCGTTGCATGGGATCATACGACTACGGATGTCTGTACATTTACTAGCTGTGTGACCTTGGGCAAGTCATTTAACCTCTCTGTTTTTCTATTATTATTTTTTAAATCTAAAAACTTAGGATAATGTCAGTATATATCTAAAGGTCATTGTGGGGATTAAATGAGGTAAGTCATATAAAACTCATCACAATACCTGGGCCATACCTAGGTATCCATATTCTTATTTCAGGAAGTAATTGTATTGCAAGGGTTAAGAGTTTGGGAACAACAGCAACAGCAGCAAGGGCAGAAATTAGAGAAATATCCAGAAGCAAATTCTCCTCTAACAAACACTGTCATTTCAGAACATAACTGAAACAAATGTTTGCTCTTGAGATAAGTAGGTTCCCTAGTACTGAGATCATCTTCGTTTCCATGGAGGTGGCATTTACGGTCAAAATATCCAATCACATCTGTGAAAATACTCCTCCAATTGTTCCTCCAATTGTTCTGATGTGTTTGTGAGTGTCAGTGTATGGTGTGTGTATGTAGAACTTTCTTTCAGGTTTAGAGATTGTAGGGGCAGTGTCACATAGACCAAACAACCAAACAAGATACTGAATATTTTTCATCCCTACTGGTTGTTTTAGGTAGGAATGGCTCTGGCCCAACTCTGTTGGCTGTAGTTTCTGAGCTGTTCTCATGGGGCCTACAGGGGAGTTACTGATTATTTTCCCAGGAATTGGCCAAGTACAGTGGTGTGTGATGGAACATGCCACTTCCCTATCTCTGGAATCTGAGTATGAGTTGAGAACAATGATAATTTCTGAGTAATTAAAAACAATTTCAAGACTACCTCTAACTTCTGCATTTGTGAATGCCACCCTTCCTTAACTGCTACACGGAGGTTCTTTGCTAAGGCTCAAAGTCATCCATTTCTCTCTCCGACTCCAAATTCAATCTATCAGGTCTTCCTTTTTGGTAGTTCTCATATTTATTGTATTCTCTCTAGTTCTACTTTCCTAGGTAAGAATCACATAATCTTTCATTAGACTAGATAATGACCACTCATACAGCCTTCCTGATTCTAGTTTCTCTCCCTTGAAATCCCTAACCCAGCCTCCAAAGTGCCACGAAAGTAATCTTTCTTAAATCACAAACTTTTTTTTATGGTTCACCATTGCCCACAGAATAAAAGCCAAGTTTCTTTGTATTGCACAAAAGGCATTGCATGATTTAGTTCCTGCCAGCATGGCTAGCCTCATCGCCCTCCTCTTGCTGCCTGCGTTCTAACTACACCAAGCTGTTTGAAGTTTTATGTCTCTTTCTTGCCTTTTTTTTTCTATCTCTGGTTTCATTCTTCAATTTTCTTCTAAATATTATTCCCTGTGTACAAATCGTCTTCCTCTTGTGACTCTAGCATGCTTCTATTAGTACTTTAAGATTCTGCTTAGTTTTTCCTTGACTTCTACAGAAAAAAAATTGTCCCTTCTTCCTCTGGTCTACTTTTGTACAGATACAAATGAAATCTGTACACTGGATGGTATTTGTTTGTTTTACATCTCTTTCCTTTACTAGACAGTACATCTTTGAAAGTGGGACCATTTTGTTCATTTTCATTTCTATAATCATTATCATGGCATTTAGGTATAAGGTAGATATCCAACGTGCATTGTGAACAGTTATTAATAGTTATATAGTAATTCAAAGATTCATCTAGATGACCATATATGGTAACATTGGAAAGGAATGGAAAATTACAGCTTGGGCAAATGAAGGACTTATTGAGAAACATGCCTTAGATTGAAACAACTCTTCATCTGATACCTTTGATAATGCAACCCAGACAAATATTTGCTTACCATCCTCACACATTCTATAACTCATCAAACTCTAATTAAACAGTTAGAGCCTTATCGTTTTAATTAATGCTTGCACCGAAAACTTTAAAAATAATGTCAATAATGACTAAGAAGCTTTGAGCGTTTGGTTTTATGTGGTTCAGTCTCTAACTGTTGGCAGATTGCTATAGTCCTATCCTTTTGTGTCATTGTTTATTTTGTATGAAAGTGACTTTTCCTCTCATTTCAGAGGGAGGAGAACATCCAAAACAATTACTAAGGCAAGAATATCTAAAATAATTAAGGAACAAACTCTGAGTACTTGAAAACAAGCGTATGTCATCACCTCTCAAGATGGGCATATCTAGAAGGCCGCTATTATTCTTATTGCTGCAGTGGGGTCCCCACACCCTGCATACCCAAGCCTCTTGAAGCTTATAGAGTAGAAAATTCCTCACAATTTTCATTAAGAACCATTATATCAAGGGAACCAACATTCAGCTATAACAGATTGCTTTGCAGTGTAATGTTTTTCATCTTGAGAGCAAATGTTTCTTCAATCATTTTTTTAAAAAGGGAGAAAGTAAGTAGTTATTTTGAATGCATATATTTAATGCAAATAAAGTGACTTTGGATGTTTGGGGAGCTCATACAATACTAAGTCCAAAACAACTTTGATTTAAAAATTGAACATTGGCAAGTGATCCATCAACACCGGCCTGTAATTGCTTTTAGTGTCTTGACTAAACAAAAATGGTATTTTAGTAGCAGAGACATTTCACCTTGAAAAGTAGCCATGGAGCATGCCCAATGACTACAAGGATGTTTTTCCTGGAAGACATCCACACGCTCAGCTTCATGCACATCCTGGATACTGCATGCCTGTGATTGACATAGGCATTTTAATTTAAAAATGTGTTTCAAAGTGCCTAAACATATGTTTATGCACTATAGCTATTGAGTAGTATTACATAGAAAATGAAAATAAAAATCTTGAAAGAAAAGTTGACTCTGTGCATGGCCACACAATGGAATATAATAGAAACCAGAAAAGGAAATGACTTGTGTTATTTGGCAGGCAAGGCAAAAAAAAAAAAAAAAAAAAAACCCTTTGACAATTCAGTCATGTTAAAATTGGGAGGCAATACTGACATAAGAAATACAGTCGATGTTAAGACAGTAAAGTCCTTCTTCATCACAGCAGGTCTAGACAGCTCCCACAGCCGTGTCTGCCCTTTCACAGAGGGATGTGTGGCCCTTCTTAGAGGGTGGTATGAGCTGCAAAGAGAACGTCAGTGCAGGGTCTTAGTTAATTTCCTTTTGCCCATGTGTCTGTGTCATAGTGGTTTTAAATTTGCTAGAAGGCAGGTTAATGGGGAGAGCCTTAGGTACACAACACTGCAACTCACCAAACCTCAAGCCAAAGTGCTCACCTGACAGAGAACATATGTGGTCCCTTCCTGGCAGAGACTTTGAGCCAGACTCCAGCCTTATGCGCCACCCTTTCTGTCTCAGAAGGGGCTTGACCGGCTTGCATGATGTGGTGTGTTTGGCCAAGACTGCTTCTTGTGGTGCGTGTGAGGTGTTCAACCATCCAAAACAAATAAAGATTCAGCTCTCCTCCTAGTGTCCTGTGGAAATGGTGGTGACAGACATTGGATGGTTCTAAATGCAGATATCAGAATGTCTAAAATAAGATTCATAGAACATAATCCAAGTGGGATGCAGTGCTTCAAGCATATAGCCTGTGCCCCAATTATTTACAGCAAAGAATAAGTTAGATCTGATCTAGCCTCTCCTCCAGAGGCAATACAGTCAATTTCTTTCTTTTTCTTTTTTTTTTTTTTTTGGAAATGGAGTCTCACTCCATCCACCAGGCTGGAGTGCAGTGACACGATCTTCATCTCAGCTCAATGCAATCTTTGCCTCCCAGGTTCAAGCAATTCTCCTCCCTTAGCCTCCCAAATAGCTGGGATTATAGGCATGCACCGCCACTTCGCCAACCAATTGGAGGACAATTTTGTCCTCCAATTTTGTCCACCTAATTAAAAATTAATTTTAAATCTTTTTTGTAGTAGAGATAGAGTTTCACCATGTTGGCAAGACTGGTCTCGAACTCCTGACCTCAGGTGATCTGCCCGCCTCAACCTCCCAAAGTGCTGGGATTACAGGCATGAGCCACCATGCCTGGCCAATACAGTCTATTTATTATGAACCCCTGTGACAATGTTGATTTGTCTATATCAGTGGTTCCCAATTAGACTGACAGGAGCCTGACACTGTGATGGCCTGAGGAGAAGGGTGACAAAAAGAATCCAGGATTGCACCCCCTGCTATCAGCCAAATGGGGGCTTCTTTTGCTGAAACCTTGGATTTTTAATAGCAGTGATAGCCTCTGAGAATCACCTAGGGGTTTGGGGGGAAGCAAAGTTGAAAAACGACCCTTGGATACTAAACTTGTTTAGGGCAGGAATGTGGTTTGCTATAACTTCATTGAGGGTGGGAATAGTTGGTCAGAAACAACATTTTACTATACCTCCACTGAGGATCCAAGCAAAATTGTCCTCCAATTGGTTGACAAAGCGAAATTTTTCATAGAGCTTCAAATGCAGTCTTCTGGTCTCAGGATCTGGAAAGCGGGGCTCTTGTTCCAACTTTGGGCCACTAAAGAGTTTTCAAACCTTGGTATTTCCTCCTGAAGCTGCTGTAGAATCCTTAGCTCCACTGCACTGAAAGACTAATGGAGACAGGTTTTCTGAAAATATGAAAGTACCTTTTTAGATTCCACTTTCTTCATTTGTAAAATGATGTTAGCAATGCGATATTACCAAAATGATGTTACGAAGATGATTTCTAAGGCTCCTTCTGTTCTGTCACAAATCACTCCATGATTCTGATTATCATTCTCTTAAGATTGTCTCTTATTGTTCTGGGTTACTTGAAAGAATATTTCTTATATAGTTAGAAGCGGATCATTTAAAATTATCTTTAGACAAATGTTTCTATCATGTGGTGCACCATTTTCAAATACAATTTGGGGCCACTTTTTTCTTGTTGGAGCTGAGATGGATCAACAGGGTTTGCCCCTAATATTCATACACACAAGCAAACCAGGGTCTGGGAGATTTATAGCTTACATCCTCATCCTCATCATCTTGTTTTTTTTCCCCTTCAGATTTAATCTAGCAGACCACACTAACCTGGCTTAAGAACTTTTCAAATATAAATGATCTAAATGTTACTTTACTTGGCAAAACAAAGGCAGAGTAAGTAATTTTCTCAAATCTCTCTTCAGGCATGCCTTATAAGGAAGATTTTCTTTCTGGGGGGATTTAGACTCTCATTAATCTATTTCTTCTTTCAACAATAAAATGAAAAATGGAATGTGATTATCAAAATGGATAGTCTGGTGTGGACCTGATAACATGCTTTTGAAAAGTGGTTTACATTTGACATCAGTTAAGCTCCTTGGGCCAACGCGTCTCAGGTCTGCTATGTGGGGCCTGGACTCCACTCCCAGTGTGGTCACAAATATGCTTTATTGGTTTCAAAGGCCTCTCAAGCCAGTTGGAAGGATGAATGAATTCCTAGGGCAGTAAGTATTAAGTCATCTGCAGAACTATAAATAACTCCTTACCCTATCTTATGGAGAACTTACACAAAGACATTTTTGGCAGTATGATTTCTCCTTAACCTAGAAATATATTTATTTTAAATTTGTATTATTTTACACATTTTTACACATGGTACAAAAGGTATGTAGTATAAAATGAGCAATTTAGAAATTTAAAACTTGATGCATCTTTCTCTGTGCCCTTTGGCATACATAATTATAGAGTCTGACTGATTCTTCTGTAAGGATTTTTAACAGTCTTGAAGGAGTGGAAAATCCTGTGTTTCTTGTAATCACAAGGACAATGGGAGTTTAAAAAGCCAATGTACAACTTCAAAATAATCATTTCAAAGTAATATTCAGAATGTACAGAGTAGCTTAAAGAAAAACAACAAGCTGACAACAATCCACCTTACAGTATTCACTGGTTTTAAAACCTGTGCTTGTAATTAAAAGTGAGATTAATGGAAGTGTCTGAATCCATGCTAGGGCAGATGTGGCTGAGACATAGATGTCATACGTATGTTCCACTCAACTCATTACAAATTTCTTGATCACTCCTCACACTCTTCATTCCATTCTCTCAAAATCAGATTTGTGGACTAAACCATGAAATAAGTTATCCTTTCCTAGTATTCTTCAATAAAAGTGGAACCCAGTACTGCTCAATACATAAACCAGAAAGAGAGGATTCATATGAAACTAAGCACTTTTAGCCCTTGTCAAGAATAAGAGCTGGGATGTTTCTCACATTAAAGTACCAAGAAAGAAAAATGTAGCGAGGGGCCAGCTACAAACCAGATTCCTAGGATCAGAGATGGTGACTCCGTAGATGCTGGGTGGACTCAGAGCACTATACCTTTACAAACAGGCTGGGAGCTGATCCCAGTGATAATATCAGTGGCCTGAATTTTGAGAGCCAGAGAAGACCGTGCTTCCCTGAAAGGGTTATTCCTGGATTCACATCACTGTATTTAAGTCCAGGAACTCAATTCCTCCTGCCTCCCACTACATCCCAAGACACATGAGCACATCTGAATATGATTTCGTTGTTGCACTGAAAACTTCTAAAGTCCAGAGAGAAGTGACTTGTTTGAAATCATAAGCAGAAAGGGGCAGAGCCAACTAGGGAATCCAAACCTCTATACACAGCAACAGATATCTCCCTTTGGCCGGAGGTCTTTTTGCACTGAATTCTCCAAAGGCACATGCCCAATTCATGAGCGAGGCAAAAAGTGACAGTGGGTGTCAACTCCTCAGTCCTTTTTGTTGCTCTCTTTTCATTCTACGCCTGCTCACTGCTCCTCAGCCCACAGCCCACTGTAAGGCGCTCCCTGGCTCTCGCGGCGAAGCCCCTCCTCCTCAGGATCTCCTCACTGTTTGATGTCTCTTTCTCAGCAGAGCTCCCTGGAGAGCTGCTATACTCTATTTACTTTCAAAGCCTGACTGTGACACTAAGAGTCCCTAATGTGGCAACACGGATGTCAACAAAGGGAAAAAACAAGTACCTGAAGGCATTCACAGCACAGCTGCTGCCTTGGGTGGGACCTTTCTAGCTTCTCGGTACAGTTGTGCAACTTCTACCTTTTATTTTATGTAAACACAACTAAACCGGCTCTCCCCACCAGCACCCGTCAGATACCCCACAATCAGAGAACTGCCTACAGGCAGCAAAGCACAATCACTAACTGGGGGATTTTTTTTTACTCCACTTAGGGAAGGATCCTGAGATTGTTTTTTTTCTCTCCAAGTGTTAGGTAGCCATCTTGCCGATTTCTGCCCAAGCCCTGTTTTTGCTGACCAAGAATGTTAATGAAATAAAGGCAGCTCAGAAACAGTGTCCCAGGGTGTGGCTGAGAACAAGGGTTTTAAAAATGCTTAAATCTAGTCTAAAAGGCAGTTCCACTACTTTCATTATGGTGAGTTGAGAAGTGTATCACGTTTTCTACTTCTGCGTCATTTCTCTGCTGAGGTGTTTACACCTCTTTACAAATTATTGTATACCCAAGTGAGAAAGAATCTCTTCATTTCCCCTACTCTGGGCAGTACTTCTTAAGTAAGACTACACTGAAGACTTAGCAATTATTTGCATAATTAGAAAATTTGGTAACAGTTAGTTACTCATTCAATTTGATCAATATATCCATTATTCAAAATAACCAAGGAATTGCCAAATCTCCATTACACTTTTTGCTTGACATAGCTTTGCAGCAGAATATAACACTGGGGGTATTTGTGCATGTGTATATGTATATACAAGGCTGAACTACTGAAGAGATTTGCCCAAGGTCATGTAATAGTTCCTTGCCGTTTCCTTTATTGTCGGGCCTCAAGTTCTTTTTTAGTAGAAAGCAAAGGAAGAGAAATGATGCTGGCTTCCAAATTTCATTATAAAAGCTTCCCTTTAAAACAAAATGTATTGCATATGATAATTGCAACCAGGGCCAGTGAGGGCAGTGGTTTTCAGCCTTGTAAGAATTGTGGGACTCCTCTTAAACATGCTGACTTCAATGAACCCCTGGTCTAACTAGGCTGTGAAAAATAGGACATTAAAAAAAATCGTTATGTGGCTCAAAACACAAACACATTTAACGTTTATTATTCTGGTTAACAAAATGCACATTTATTTAAAACTAAATTTTATTCATTTTTTTTCTTTTTAAAAATTCTTTTGTTCTTTCTACTTTTATTCTTTTTTTTTCTACCCACGTACCTTCCAGAACCCACATATTTTCATTACAGTAAGATGAGAAGTAATTTTTTTCTTAACCAAAAAATTATGGTACTAGTTATGTGTTATCATAGTAGAGTGTTCTCTGTTTTCCCTGAAGTCTGAGATCTTATACACAAAGCTGTTTAGAAAAACAGAAACGCTACTGTTAATTAAAACCTGTCCTCCTCATCCTCAAACAAGCTGTTGAATTCTAATGGTGTTTTCTCATGTTGCTGTTGTTTCAAACCTGCTTGTGGGTTTGACACACCATCTGTCCCTTCTTGATAAGTGTCAAGGAGTTCAGTGGACTTCTGCTATGACAATGAGGATGAATGAAACTTACCAAAACTTTCCCATTTCAAGCCTGGGGCCAACCACTTTACGCCTATTAATTTATGTCATCCTGCCCGAGAAGGCAGAAATTATTAGCCCCTTCTTACAAGTGAAAAATTAGCCTTGCAAAGGCCAAGGACTTGCCCAAGTTGACCTTGGCTGGGCAGTAGAGACAGCACCAGAAGTCCAGCACCCAGATTACCCCTTCCATGCTGCACTGTCTCGTGGGCAAAGCACTTACTTTTTTTTTTAATCCCCACTCAAGTCTCACATTGGATTATAACTCCCAGTGCTGAAGGTGGGGGCTGATGGGAGGTGTTTGGGTCATAGCGGTGGATCCTCGATCCCCCATGGCTTGGTGCTGCTTTGCAATAGTGAGTGAGTTCTCCTGCGATCTGGTCATTTAAAAGTGTGGGGCATCCCCGCCCACTCTTACTCTCTCCTTCCTGTTTTTGCCATGTGCAGAAGCACTTACGTTTGATTCACACTGAGGTTGTAAGCCTCCTGATAGTCTCCTTCCATCACTAACATCAATTTAACAGAGGATATTTGGTAAATACTATCAAAAATATGTAATTCTCCATTAAAATATTCAGATTAAATTTAAAATCCATTTTTACCCACACCCATGAAGTTTGTGAAAAATACCCAGTTACTGAGGAGCTATTAGTTAGCTCTTTGAACTTTAATTACTCCCAGGACTGTGACTTGCATGGACAAAGCTAAAAACACAATGGAGAGCAAAGTAGATGTTCAGCAAAGAAAAGAGATGGCTTCCTCACCCTTTCCCCCTATTTTTCCTTTTCTACAGGTCTCGCATTATCAAACAAGGGTATGTATCATGTGCAGAGAACAGACAGCAAGAGAGATGAAATGGGCGTCTTTCTGGGAACGGAGCCTAGCTTTGAAACCTACACCTCCAGGCTGATGCTGCACTTGCCAGTACACACGTCTGAGACCAATACTTGAAGAAGAATACTGAACAGCATGAATATGGCTTCTGGATTTCCTTCCTCGGCAATGAGATGGTACTCTTGGGATAGCTCATCCAGCCTTGAGCTTTTCTGCAAATCCACTCAGGAGCCAGCCTTTGGGCTCTGAAATATATCTGTTCCTTCTCTATCAACAATATTCACATAGTGTGCACCAAACGTCTTGGCACACAGTATGGAGACTGAGTCTTCTCCGGGAACTACAAATAAGGGAGGTCTTCCTGTTAAACTCATTACATTTACAAAGGCTCACCAGTCATTTTTCCTAAAATAATTTCCTTTTATGTATGTAGAGTTGAAATATTACACTAACAATTCCCATACATGTTCCAAGATTTTTCACAGACTTGCCATACCTAAACAACTTTCTCCTTACAGTCTCAAAGATAGGAGTACATATATCATCCTTATTTAGTGATCTTAAAATTTGAAAACTTTTTAAGAGGGGGAATCATCTTCCCCTAATAAGAAGAGCCACACCAATCATAATTCCTCAATTTCTTTTACTTTCTAATCCAAATGAACATAGAGATGAAAGGTGTTTTTCAAAATGCAGAGTAGGTGCAAGATTTTTCATCAGAGGTAAAGTATTTGACATGTCCTTGGTCAT